GCAAAAACCTCCCAGCAAAAACCCTCCCAGTAAAAACCTTCCCAGCAAAAACCCTCCCAGCAAAAACCCTCCGAGTGCAACCCCGGCACAGGGAAAGGGGCTTCTGCTGCTGGAAACTGTCGGGGCATCCCGACCGTGGGATCTGCCCCGCCGAGGCCAGGGCCCTGCTGCGGATCCCCAGCACCACGATGTCACATCCCAGCACCCCAGTGTCACATCCCGTACCGTGATGTCACATCCCAGCATCTTGATGTCACATCCCAGCACCACAGTGTCACATCCCAGCACCCCAATGTCACATCCCAGCACCCTGATGTCACATCCCAGCACCACAGTGTCACATCCCAGCACCCCAGTGTCACATCCCAGCTCCCTGATGTCACATCCCAGCACCACAGTGTCACATCCCAGCTCCCTGATGTCACATCCCAGCTCCCTGATGTCACATCCCAGCATCTTGGTGTTGCTGGATCTCAGCCAAGTCTCTGGTCTGTGCAGGTGCATCTCTGTTCCTATGGAATGGGATTGGCATTTGGAATCATCTGCGCCTGTAGGGCACAGCCAGGGTTTGTGGGTGCCTGGTCCTGCTGCCAGACCCCCGGTGGGGTGGGATTCCCAGTCCTCGCTGTCCGTGGTGCTGTGGAGGAAGAGCTGCTTCCCTTTTCCTCCTCTCCTTCCCTTTCCTCCCAGAGCTGGAGCAGCCGGTGCTCCAGAGCCAGTCCTGGATCCTTGTCTGTGCCAGCCTCTGCCTTGGGCACTCCAAACTGGTGGGGTTTTGTGTCCTGGCACTGGTACCAGCCCTCCTGCCCTCTTTGGTCTCCCCAAGGCTGCAGGAGCGAGTTGGGCCCCCTGGCCTGGAGGTGCCCCCATTACACCCCCTTTATTTCCCTCTGGGGTTTTATCCATCTGTAGATCCGTTGTGTTTTCATCCCTGGCACTGCTTATGTGGTTATTAATTACCTGTGAGTGCAATTAGTGATGCTTTTACCCCTCCTCTTCCACATCAGCAGTTGAAAAGTTTATATATTATATATAAAATTCCTAATAGACACTATATAGCATTCTGAATAGGCGACATATAAAGTGTACATTTAGGGTTGATTCCAGGCTCTTCTGGAAGGTTTCACCCACCAGTCCCACCCCTGTGTCCTGGCAGCTCCACAGCCCCTTGCTGGGCCCGGCTCTGCCGCCGTCACATTCCCACAGTCTCCGGCAGCAGCACCTGGATATCACAGCTCCATCCCGGCCTGCTGAGCGATAATTGATCCCACGGCACCCGATGGAGGAGATGGGAAGTGACAGACTGAAAACTGAGTGTAATGAAATCCTCCAGCCTTTCATCTCTCACCTTCATCTCCCGGCGCGGGAGGAATCCCGGGAGCGGGAACCGGGAACGTCCCCAGCGCTCGGCTCTGCCGGGAACGTCACGGGTCGGGGTGGAGACACATCTCCTCCTGCTCCAGGTGCTGGGCTGGTGCTGTGGTGTGTGGGAATGGCTGTAGTGCCTCGCTGGGATGGCTGGAACCCCTCACTTGGATGGTTGGAACCCCTCGATGGGATGACTGGAACTCCTCAATGGGATGACTGGAACCTCTCACTGGGATGGCTGGAACCTCTCACTGGGATGGCTGGAACCTCTCACTGGGATGGTTGGAACTCCTCGCTAGGATGGCTGGAATTCCTCGCTGGGATGGTTGGAACCCCTCACTGGGATGACAGGAACCCCTCGCTGGGATGGCTGGAACCCTTCACTGGGATGACTGGAACTCCTCAATGGGATGGTTGGAACCCCTCTTCAGGATGGCTGGAACCCTTCGCTGGGATGGCTGGAGACCCTTGATGGGATGGCTGGAACTCCTCGCTGGGATGGTTGGAACTCCTCACTGGGATGGTTGGAACTCCTCACTGGGATGGCTGGAACCCCTCGCTGGGATGGCTGGAACCTCTTGATGGGATGGCTGGAGACCCTTGCCAGGCTGTCACCCACATCTGGAGCTGGGACCATGGGGTGTTCCAGTTTTTGGGATGATCCAGGCGCCTCCAGGCACGGGGAAGCCCTTCCATGGCTCCAGGTGGTGCCCATCACTCGGGCATCATGCACTGCTCAGCCCTGAAACCCCATGTTGGGATTTGGGGTCCGTTTCTGTAACGGATCCAGTCCCACTGGAGCAGTTTGCCAGCATTGGATCCATCCAAAGGTGGAACTGAGCCTGGCAACGCCGTGGGATGGGAGGAAGAGCCAACCCCTGGGAGGGCTGAGGCGATGGGCTCCGACCTGTTGGATCCACCTTGGAGCTTTCCTGGGTGTCGGTGTCACCGCCCTTCCCAGGGTTCGGGATATTCCACCTCCCTGTTTTAGTCCCAGGCTCCCTCCTTGGGCAGCCACATTCCAGGCTCTGGGATATTTCCCCCTCCCTGTTTTAGTCCCAGGCTCCCTCCTTGGGCAGCCACATTCCGGGCTCCGGCAGCCACCCCAGCTATATTTGCTGGGTTGATGCAATTGCAGCACAAATCTGCTCCAATCCCCCAATTTATCTAAATTGATATCTTAATTGGTAATTCTCTCGGAGAGGGGGAGTCAAACACATGGATACTGATTAAAAGGGAAAAAATAGGGAAAAAAGCAGCCTGCTGGTGGTGGGTGGCACTTTTGAAGGCTGGAAGTGGGGCAGTGTCCCCCCGGCTGGAGCAGGGACACTGTGGCTGCCGGGGGACTTGGGAGGGGGCTTGGCAGTGCTGGGAGCTGGGGAGAGGAGTGGAAATGGGAGTGGGAGTGGAGGTATCCGTGCTCCTTTCCTGGTGGTGCCGCTGCTCCGGGACTCACCGGTCCCGGCTCCCGCCTGCACCGCGGAGATAAGGTTGGCATTGGCGGTGTGGGATTTCTTCAAGGATAGTGGGAATGGCCCTGGGACACCTTCCAGACATGCTTTCCGAGAACACGGAGCTGGGGCTGTCTGGTTTTCCCTGTTCCTCTCGGATGGTGGCTCTTTCCTGTCCCCCTGCCCCACACCAGCAGGTGGTGGGCACTGGGGAGGGGTCACGGGTACCTTTGGGTGCCTCCAGCCCCCTCCAGGGGGGACATGGGGTGGGAGGACCCCGGGGCTGTGCCTGCTCTGAGCCTCGTGTCGACCGGGAGCGTGTTGGGCACGGCGGGAGCTCATGGCAGAGCTGGCACGAGCTGGCACCACACGGGGCAGGGAAAAGCTGCAGGCACAGGGAAGCTGGAAATGGCTTCAAAAGAGGGAGAACAGATGGATTTGGGCTTGGATATT